TTTTAAACCATAAAGTAAATTTTTTTTTTTTTTTTTTTTTTGTTTCAACGACGCCGTTTAGCTCTAACTACCAAAAGAATATCCAGGACAAAGCTAGAGATTACAGACCGAGCCGCTGTCGGTCCAGAGAGAGAAAACCCGGATTCTATAACGGTGAAATATCATAATTTTAAATTAAAATAATTAAAAATAGATGGTGAATTACGAATATAGCCTCAAAACTTTTATGTGGGACAAGAAAAAGGAAAATATAGAAGTTAGAGATGTGGGGCCCAATATAAGTGTGAAATTAAAATAAATAAATAATAAAATAATAAAATAATAAAATAAAGAAAAGTGGGGACCACCACCCATGTGCCCTCCTCCTGTCTCCACCAGCTCCTGCTTCTCAATGATTAGAGCCCCTCTGCTCCCAAACCCCAAACCCCTTAAAAAGATTTTTAAATAATTAAAAATTAAAAAATAAATAAATATTTCAATTCCTCCATTGACGACCCTTCAATCTTCTTCTTCTTCTTCTTCTTCGTTGACGTCTTTCTTTGTTAACCATGTCTGGTTCTGGCGGCGTTAACGGCAACAATGGCGCCATTATTGATCATTCTCAGACTAACAACAATGGCGGTTTGGCCGTCAAAAAACCTCCGTCCAAGGACCGTCACAGCAAGGTCGACGGCCGTGGCCGCCGTATTCGTATGCCGATCATTTGTGCTGCTCGGGTCTTCCAACTTACCCGCGAGTTGGGCCACAAATCCGACGGCCAAACCATCGAGTGGCTTCTCCGTCAAGCGGAGCCTTCGATTATTGCTGCCACTGGCACCGGCACCACTCCGGCTAGCTTCTCCACCATTTCCGCTTCACTCCGCGGTGGTTCCGCCGCTGCTTCCTCTCTCGACCATAAGCCGCTTTTGGCTCCGGCGCCGTTCATTCTTGGCAAGCGCGTTAGAGCGGACGACGATGGAGATAATAAAGACGACGGTAGCGGTGGCGGTGGCGTTGGTGGTGGCGTTTCCGTTGGCTCTACTGTGAGTTCGTTTATGGGTACGGCTGCCGCGGGTGGATATTGGGCGATTCCTACAAGGCCGGATTTCGGACAGGTGTGGAGCTTTGCAGCAGCGGCGGCGGCGGCGGCGGCGGCACCGGAGATGGTGATTCAACCAACCGCGGTTTCTCACCCGGCGTCGCTGTTCGTTCAGCAGCAATCTATGGGAGAAGCGTCGGCGGCGAAAGTGGGAAATTACCTTCCAGGGCATCTGAATTTACTTGCTTCTTTATCCAGTGGACCGGGAAGTTCCGGCCGAAGAGACAACGACCACCATTGAAGTCGTAATCCCGCCGCCGTCCACGACGGCCTCGTGTTTCGTGTTCATAGAATTATTAACTACCCTAAACCCCACCCTTCAATTTCTCTATCGTTTTTTTTTTCCCCTTTTCGTGTGGAGCTTAGAATTTTAGGGTTTTTGGCTATCGAATTCTTAACTTAGATGGAGTGAAAATTAGGGTTTCCTTTTTCTCTTTTCAAATCATTATTCTGAATTTTGGCTGTTTTTGCCAGATTTTGCTCTATGAACTCTGCTAATTTGGTTGAAGTTCTTCCGCCATTTCAATGGAAATCCACGGAGGAACTCAGCTCTGATGGATTTCTGGTTATGCTTCTGTTCTTCTTCTTCTTCTTCTTCTTCTTCTGGTTTGTGTTTGATCCGCCATGGATGAGTTTGTTGAAGCTTTTCTTCATCTTCATCTCTCTGCAAGGCCTCTGTTTTTTGAGGTTTTTCTTCAAATTTCTTAATCAATTGGCTTTTAAATTCATCAGAGTGAGAATAATCAATAATTTTGTTGTTTCCATCTATGGAATTGGTTCTGATTGCTCTAACACTTGTCTCAATTTGCTGTAATATGAACCTTGAATCTCGGAAGTTTCGATTCCATTTTCTCGGGAAAGAACATGGAATTTTGTGGAGGGAAAATTTTTGGGATTGGTTTCAGCTTTGAATCTGATTTGACTCATTGGATTCTGAGTTTTTTTGTTTTCCCAGTGATTTTGTGTTGTTCAATGGCATTCATGGTACCCTCAGCAGATTTTATTACCATTTATTGTATGGTTTTCCTCTCCATTTTCTCTCTCATAAATTATTTTAGAGCCCTAACTAAGAAAGAGTGGGTAGATATTGCGTCGGTAGATATTATCCCCTTTAGTCACATGACTTATCGCCGTTTTAAAACGTATCTGTTAGGAAGAGATTTTCACACTTTTTTAAAGAATGTTTCGTTACCCTGATGTGGGATCTCACAATCCACTCCCTTTAGGACTCGGTGTATTTGCAGACATTCGTTCTCCTCTCCAATCAATGTGGGATCTCACAATCTACCCCTCTTTGGGGTTCAGTGTCTTTGCGTACATAGCTAGTTGTGTAGCTATGATGTCATTTGTAACAATCCAAGCCAACCGCTAGAAGATATTGTCCGTTTTGGCCGGTTACGTATGACCATCAGTCTCAGGATTTTAAAACGCATTTGTTAGAGGAGGTTTACACACTGTTTTGAGGCTTTCCTATGAATAGAATCATTTGACAATATCAAAGATGTATTTCCTTACGAGAGAGGTGCACCAATTGAAGCGAAAGCTTTCTTTCTTTGATGAAATAAGATGTTTAGAGGATCTACTCTCTACTCGTGACTATCCTTTTGGTTATACTAAGTTCCACGTTAAAAAACATATATATAAACTTTCCGAACTAACATTAATACCCTTCAACTATTGAAAAAGAATATAAAAATTAAAAATGATCTATATAGTTTAGATAGACGGTTTTCGTTCGTAGTTTTGGACCACAAAAAATGCATCATAAATGGGAATAACGGAGAGAAAAATATATTATACTTAATTAAAAAATAAAAAATATTATAAACAAGTTTAATAATGGTAAATAGAAAATTTTCTACTAATTTGTATATGATATTCCTAAACTTCACTCTTTGCTTCAAAAAAAAACTTTTATTATTTCAAAACTTAACTTTAAAATAAAATAAAAAATAAATAATTAAAAAAGAAAAAGAAAGAAATAAATAACATCTTTAGAAAAGAAATTTGTACCTCCTTTTATCCCAATAATAATAATAATAATAATAATAATAATAATAAATTTTAATTAATAATAATATACCATAAACTATATAGTAAACCTTCAAGTTTGACGTCTAATTATCCATAAAGCTATAAAAATGAAGTTTAGTATTCAATAATATCATCACTTCAAACTTCAATTGTCTGTGTATCTGACTTAAATAGATCTAACCATCTAGAAATCGACAACCCGAAGAATCAGATAGATAAGGGTAGGGAGGACCCAATAATTGGAGAGACCCACAAACATAATTCTTTTTATTTATTTATTTTGTAAAAATGGTCCTACAAAATTAATTCGCATACTGAAAAAAGTGGGTGGAATTTTTATTAGGTGGGGGACCATTTTGGGTCAAAATCTCAGTTCTTGCATGGCTATGAATCATTCTTCAGTGGGCCCATGGGCCCGCGGTAAGCAAACTGGGCCTACAATCACTTTCTCGAATCTCGATTCCCAATTTTGTGGATATGGGCCATTCTTAATGGGCCATACACACAAGTGACCCACACTAATGGGCCCAAGGTACACAAAGTGAGCCGACAATCATTCTCATGAATCTTGTTTCCCAATTTTGTGGATATGGGCCATTCTTAGTTGGCCCACGGTATTCAAGTGGGCCAACCTACACTTTCATGGGCCCACTATCAGTTTTTTGAATTTCGTTTTCCAGTTTTGTATCTATGAGCTATTCTTAATTTGTCCTTACAAGCAGCTGACCCACATTAATGGGCCATTCTTAATGGGCCCACGGTATTCGAGTGGTTATCCATCTCTTGGATTTCGTTTCCCAGTTTTGTGGATAAGCCATTCTTAATGGGCCATACAAGCAGGCAACCCACACTTTAATGGGCCATTCTTAATGGGTCCATACAATCAAACAGGTGACCTACACTCTATGGGCCTACAGTATTCAAGTGGGCCAACCAACCCTACAATGGAAAAGGAGACTGTGAGTTTACGGTTTTCTTCCATTAAAATGGAAAATTTTCCTTTTGGAAAGGGTTTCCTTCAAGGACATGGTAAAGGAGACAGTTCCAAAAGGTTCCGGGCCTACCGACTCGAATAATTGAGTTATCTATCATTTGTTATGAGGATAAAAGAATTATAACGTCGGAAAATAATAAGTGATGCATATCTAAAGAGTCTTTTTCCTATTACGAAGCTTTTTATCATCTATTTAATTATAATATGTATCATAAATCAACTAAAACAATCTAGAATTAATATAGGGAAGGAATGGGAGACAGGATCTGTAACGACCCATATCTACCGCTAACAGATATTGTCCTCTTTGGGCTTTCTCTTTCGGGCTCCCCCTCAAGGCTTTAAAACGTGTTTGCTAGGGGAAGGTTTCCACACCCTTCCTTATAAATGGTGTTTTGTTCTCCTTCCCAACCAATGTGGACATCACATGATCACTCTATCCAAAACCTCCAGCTGAGTAGATCACCTTGTGGAAAACCTCTGGTAGCAAGAATCTTTCCTCCTGAAGCAGCCATTAATGATGGTTGAGAATTTTGGAGCTGGGATACACCCTCGAATCCATTTCCTCTGTATTGACCATCATCCCTTTGCATTTTTTTTGACTATGAAAGAAAGAATCATCAATAATCTATCAACCACAAAAGTGTGTACACATAAATATACAAAAAAAAAAAAGAAAAAAAAAAAAAGAAAAAAGAAAAGAAAAATCATACACCTCTAGACAACACTACAGGGTTATGAACAAAACGTTAAGAATGTCCCAAGGGCCACCCACCAACAATTGATCAATACAAATAATCTAAAAGCCATGCATTGATCTGATTATAAATAAGGTTCAGTTCACTAATAGTCAAATTTATATTCATCCCATCTATGGGGGTCATCATCATCACTTTCATCAGCCTTCAATGGACTGTGAATTTCACCAACAAATTCTTCCATTTTTGTGTCCTCCACTTCTCCAGGTTTTGCCACTTCTTCCTCCTGTTCACACAAACCATCAGAGATTACATTACACAAATAACCTACTCGTCAATCTCTATTCCTCCTTCCAGTCTCCAAAGCCAATAACCATTTTGATAAATCATAAGATTATGAGGAAAGGAGAACACCAAGAGGAAATAGGTGTACCCGAAAGGCCCAAGTAGAAACCGGAAAAAAAAAAATTGACAAAGTCTGACAGGAGAACAAGAGAAAGACGGCATACGTTAATTTCAGGTGACAACTCTCCCAGCTCCTCATTCCCAGTATTTTCAGTCAACTCGTCTTCATTGGACTCGTGTTTTGCCTTATTAGCAGCTTCTTGCAGCTGCCCAATCAACGATAAAAATTGGGAATGGTCTGCAAAAAGCTTGATTGTAAGACCATTGAACCAAAAGATAATTAAAGGAAAAGAAAAAACAAGAACAAGAAAGAATGAAATCACAATTGGACAGAGTTAAGTTTAGGAAAAAAACGAAAATGAAACAGGTATTACCTTTGGCACGATTAGTTATAGCATCAGATAGGCGAAATGGATGATGACGTTCTTCATTTTTGAATTTTAGTTTAATTTGATGCCGTGTTCGGCCTGGAAACAATTGTTGTATCATACAAAAATCCGTTCCAAATTGCCGAACAGCCTATAAAGTAAGTGAACAAAGAGTTAAGTTTAATGCCAAACATATTTCAGATGTTAAAATCTTCCAAATAATTCCAAAAGATGATGACATTCCTAATTGTTTAACTGTTTCAATGAAAATATCAGGACCTAAATTTTTTTTAACCAAAATACAAATGGCCAAGGCAACAAACCTAAGGCCAAAAGGATTACAAAAATGTTTTACTAATTAGTAGAACTACAAAGAAAAGAAAAGGCTCCAAGAAAGAGTCCCCACTTTTGGTAACAAAAACTAAAGGATCAATGTGGGGAAAAAAGTCTAGAATAACAGACCAAAGGAACACCGACATACGTTGACCCCATGCATATTTTCACAATGTAGCCAAACGTAACAACATTCTCTTTTTTCATTCCAACCAAATAGATCACAAAAAGGCAAAGAATCTGCTAAAGAAACAAACTTCCCACCCCAAGAGGGGATTGGGAACAATGTCCCTCCATCATTCTGTTCAAAACCACTCAACTCTAGCTAACTGATCAATAAATTATTAATATAAGAACTAGTTTCCTTCCCTTTGTTGATCCAAACAGACTCTGACCCATAATAGATTCTTGTAGATGGGCCTTTCTTTCATTATTTTTTATTTATTTATTTGAACAAGAAACAACTTCTCCTTGATATAATGAAAATATTCAAGAGGGATAAAAACTTCCCTAAGGAGAGAAAAAGTTACAAAAAAAAAAAAAACAACAACAACAAATACAACCAGAAAATGCGTAGTCACAAAGCTAAAAGAAATTTTTAAAGAACGAAGACCTTTTTCTAATATTGATGCATGATGCATGAAAGACTTGTGGAACTTCCAAACAAAGTTGAAGCTATGAAAATGTTGACTAGAAAAATTCTTCCTGTAAGGGTCTCTAGTTCTTCTCAAACCAAATTCTCATTGCCTTGATAACATTTGACCACAGATTTCTAGCTTGCAAATTAAAAGGGTTGCTCAAGAATAGGTGGATCTTCAAATGATTAATCTCGGCCCATTGAAAACTTGGATTTATCTAAACCAACCAAGGGTTCTTTGGCGGGGGGGTGGATATCTTTTTAGATGAGGATTCCAGGTTTATTCCATGCCAATCCAACAACCGCTGAACAGGCACCTTTCACATGGGAGATTCTATAAATATTAGAAAAGAGAAGATTTAGAGGATAATCATCTATCACGCCCCATTGTTGGGACACAAGTTCTCCTACAATTCAGCTCCCCTCCCAACTAGAAAATAGTACCTTTTCTAATATGAAACATGACCAAGGAATTTCCATACCTCAAGGTTCCATTATAAGGACGAGAGCCAAGAAGTTATTACAGGCTTAGTCACATAATTGAGTTTATGGAACCTAGTCCCAGGATTGGTTACTAGATAGCACATTTCTTTTATTACATTATTTTAATTGTAATTTAAATATTTGTTTGTCATTCAAGCTAGTTTTTAATATCGGGTTAAGGTTATATTGTAACCCATATAGGTTACCATATTCCATCCTCAACTAGCTATTTTAATAGGGAGATTATGAGTATTTCTCATTAACTAGCTATTTTAATATGGAGGTTGTGTGTATTTAACTCACAAAGACGAAAAAATGGCAAAAAAGAATAAGTTAAGGCTGTCAAAGGCTATATAAATCCTCTTTTCTTTCCTTGTAAAGATTACATTTTGGAATTGAAAAGAATAGAGTTTCTATTTTTGCTTTGTGAGAGCTAAGTTTCTACTTTGCAAATTCTTCTGTTTATAACTTGCATGCTAGAGTCATTTAAGTGGAATTGATCAAACCGCTTGTGGAGTGATTCGAATCATAAGTTTAGAAACGAATTTTCTTTACTCTTTATCATCATGGTAATCCATTCCAAAATTTTCCCTTGATTTGATTCTTATTGTTTTTTGGGATTCTTGAATAATTTAGATCTAAAGGTCTTATTCTTCATCCAGATATTTTAGATCGAATACCAAGAGTTTCATAACACTTTCTACACAAAAGACAATGCAATTCTTTAGTATCATATGTTAAGTGTCCCAAACCAAACCAATCAAATAATATCACGAACATTATTGAGGAAAAAAGAGGTGTAATTACCTCATAAAAACGCTCTGTATCATGCTTTGACCACTTTGTACGTGATGTTTTGTCCATGAATGAATGGTAATTAAAGTAAGCAGAAGTCATGTCAACTACATCAGGCGTTTCATCATCATCAGTACCTCTACCTTGTTCATCAGCAAGGCTTTCCTCTCCATCATTATAAATCTCCTCGCCGACAGTATCGGTTCTGGACGTAAAAGAACAAGAAGGGAGTATAAAAAAAAAAGATGAAGAAAGAAAGAATAAAACCTACAGAAAGGCAAAAATATATATAAAAGAAGAAAGTAAATCAACAACGAGAAGCGAAGTAGACAGACTTGACTTTGCCTATGCACAAGTGACAAACTTGAGTGAATTGAGAGACAACAACAATATTCTTTAAAAGATAACACTTTTAAGGCATACTTATGATATGAGCAAGATATTCATGAGAGACAATAAAAGCCCAATCAGTTACAACAGACTCTTCCCACACTCAAAAACAACGAGAATTGCAAAAGGTTCTTCAATTGGAAAGAGGGTTTGGGTCTTCCTGTAAGTAGAAATCTCTTCTGAATGAGATCACAAGTGAAATTCAAATACCAATGAAAAGTATGAGTACGTTTGGTTGGTGATCTAAAAGCAGAAATTTGAAAACAATAAATTCAATGAAATTTTATTGTAATGAAAAACATAATTGTATTTTATGTTTATAGTGTTTTTGTCTACGTGTTTGGCAGGAAATTTAGAAATTGGATTCCAATTAAAAATGTGTTTACTGTTTATAAACCTTAAAATATAGTTACAGTTACCACTAAATATTATATTGAATCTTACTATCATCAATTAATTTAATTTAACATATTTTATATTATAAATTTTGTATAATTATTATTTTACAATATTATATAATTTATAATGCATTACATCATACATATTTTATTTTTAACAAAAAATGAAACTAGTTCGGAGCATGAAATAAACCAAAAAGAAAAAATATATTAAATTACAAATTTAGTACAAATTTAGTCGATTTGTGTCTATTTAGTCTATAAACTTTCAAACTGGAAAATTTTGGTTCTTAATTTTTTTAAAATATTCTTAAATCTAAGACAAAATTGAAAGTTTAAGATTCAATGAGAAGAAAATAACATTTATATATAATAGAAGAATTCATTTTTAAAAATTACGAATTTGTCAAGTATTTATTAGACAAAATTGAAAATTTCTATTAGGCCTAAAATGTTTGATATTTGTGTCCATCTAATCTTTGAACTTTCAAAATTGTCTAAGTTTGGGACTAAACTTGTAATTTTTTTTAAAAAAAAATCAAGTTCACATACTCTTCATATTTAAAAATACATGTTACATATGCAAATACATTGGCATACCTACAAACATACATGCATGAAGCCAACAGAAAATAGCAAGAGAAAAAGACAGAAACATTAAAGTCCAGTAGTATCTCACCGCAACCAATATATCTTTCCAAAATAATGATACTGAAATATGCTGATCTTTTTTTCATAAAAAATAATGACGATAAATCATTATAGTTCTTTTCATAATAAACAATTTATAGCGATGAAGCAAAGATGAGTTAAAAGTTTTGGACCTTTGATTGGTTGCCGATTGTCTTGTGGTTGCCTCTTTTTTCTACATTAGAAACAACAGGCCCCAAGGAATCTCGTTAGTAAATGTGAGGAAGAAAAAGAGCTAAAACACACCAACCAAAGAAAATAAAATCATCAGTCCTGTGCAACTTGAGAGATGCTAAAAAGAATCAGTACCTCTAATTTCTCCTTGTGCTCGTGATAAATAATGAGATCCCTAAAACTTATTTTTTGAAAGTCAATTTCATCCTCCGGAGTTTCAAGCAGAACCTTGTTTACTTTAGAAGCACAAAATAATTAATGATCCGACAAAAGCACATTACTACATTAACGATACAGAGTAATAGAAAAAGATATATATCGTTGGCAGCCAGACAGATTTAAAGCATAGGCAGCTAGAGAAATAGTTACCTTGCCTTCTATTCCGGCGAGTTGAATGGGAGAACTTCTTAGGACGTTTTTCAGCTTGCAAATCTGGAACTGCTTTATTAGCCTCCTTGCGCTTCCGAGTTGGTTTTTCATTATCACTAGAAGGTTTCAATGACTTCGTTTTAGTTTTTGTTCCTCGACGTCCTTTTGAGGTTTCATTTTTTTTATAGCCATCTCCATGTATATCACAATTACTAAAGCGTTCACTAGGGAAATCATCAACACCATCTTCTGGATCACCAAGTTGATGAGAAACCTGCTGTCTCAACTTCCTCGAAGTTTTGCTATGCTCAATTTCTTCACCAACTGGGGGGAACATCTCTTGCTGCTGAGACATATTTGATCGACTCGAAGGGTCTTCTTCACCATTCTTACCACCCTAAGAACTCAATTACAAAAATAAAAAATTAAAACAACCAAACAGAACCGCACAAACTCAAAACAATTGCATATTTAATTACACATTTCAACAGTCATTTACATTACCTCTTCTCTTAACATCTCATCCTGATCATCTGAATTAAAATCATCTACCAGTATGTCACCATAAGAGTCATATGCTAATGACTCTACATTAACAGGTGCTTCAATGTGCTGGTTGACAGGAGAGTAGTCATCAAAGTTGATCGATGAATCATTAAGAACACCATCTGAATGGGTACCAATTGAGGCTTCATGCATGCACTTAGTATCACAAGAAATAACTTGTGGAGATGGTGGAAGCGTATTAGAGATTTCTGGCTGAGAGATTTGTGTGCAACTGTCTCCTGCAATTCTCATTTTGGGCTTTGGTATATACTTGCAAGCAGGTTGTTCTGAAAACAAGATGAATTTAAATTATTTAACTAAACGCATATTTCAAAACCAAATAAAGCAGAAAAGTTGGTTGAATTTGTCTTACCAGTAGTGGTCCCAGAACTTATTGTATCCTCGGTGATATTAGCTCCTGCCCCACATTCCTGAAACCTCGACCATATGTGAACGAGTGAAGAAAGATGCTTTAAAAGAACTAACTCCACTTGTTAACAAAACAAGACTTTCACCTCTACTTCCAACCTTTGTTTATCCAAATCTCCATCCTCATTGGAAATTGTTGCTTGCTTAAGGCTTGAAGGATCTTTAAATGTAAGAGAACAGACATTAGAACAAGAACTATAGAGGAAATGAGAGATGAGAAATGTCAATTACTCACCTGCTTCATTCTTTGGTTGGTTATGAAAATCATCTAGCCATTCCAAATCATAAAATACATCTGTATTCTGAAAATAAAATGATTATTAGTACAGAATTGAGGGAAAAAAAAGTTGTACCAAAAACAATGACTCTACAAAATACACGAATAATTAGCCCATACCTGCCCTGCTATTTTACCATCATTGGAATGCCCATCCTCAGGCTGGATTGATCCTAGTCCACTTTGACCCAGAACCGTAGCTTCATGAGCTCCAGAGGCACTTGAATGGGAACAGTTCAATATTCCCGAATTTTTGCTATCATCGGTAAGATTTTCTACTCCAACTGGACCTAAGGAGAGAGTAGTGGTATCAATTGCATCAGTCACTCCATCTTGAACATCAATGGAATATCGAATACTTGAGTCAATGACAATGTTAGAAACCAAATAATAAGACTTGGAAATTATATTGAAAGATAAAAGAATAAGAAAATACAGTAAGAAACTCCAAAGTAACTAAAGCTACGAGGACCATCACATCTAGAGCTCACTCAAGACTCCACAGCAATATTACTTACCTCCCTCCAAGACCAACCCTCTTAGTTATAACAAATGATCTCTAACAAAACTGCAACAAGCTACCTTGCTAATTCTGATATTACCCCTTGCTATTAAGTCCTACCAAATAATTGAAACTGATGAGAAATTTGGGAATTTCTCTAAAGATCAAAATGCTGCAACAACCATCTTTTTTGGGTTATATTGGATGTCAAGTTGAAACTCATACCATTCAATTCACAAGTAAAATTAAATTGTAATTTTCACGTACTTGGATATTTGGAAAGAAAAATTCATATTATAAGATATTGGATAAATTACAAAATTAGGCCCTATGGAATGGATAAATTTAAATTTGATCCCCATTATTTTTAAAGTTTCAATTAATCCCAATGGTTTGTGTTTAGCTTCAATTTGGTCTTTATAATATTAAAAATTTAAATTTTCCACATGGTTTGGTTAAATCTAAAAAACAGCTCCTAAATTATGTTCTATCAACCTCAAAACCCCACCAATAACGACGCCAAGGATGATTTGTAAAGTTTTGCTAAACCATAGGGATCAAGTTCAAACTTTTTTAGTCAGAGAGATTAAATTGAAACTAAATTCAAACCATAAGGATCAAATTAAAACTAAGCCCAAACCATAGAAACTAAATTGAAACTTTGCCCAAACTATAAGGACCAATTTTATAATTCAATCTGAAGTATTTAATAAATATATTTTCCTATATACCACACCATCATAATTTCAACGAATGTTTTGAACTAGTACTTACCATCGATAGTAGAACCTGAAGGAAGAATACCACCACAAGAATCCAAATCAAGCTGCGTAGAGTCTACCTGGAAACAACAATTTTCCTCACCCAATCAAGCTTACAAATGAAATAATATATGGTTATACTAGAATAGAGAAATCCATATGGCCAAATTTCTGGTGTTCTGGCACTAAACATGGCTAAATAATAATTAGTAAATTGTACCATTATAGCACTTTCCACAGAGGTGTGATGTGAACAACCAATGAAATCAGATCTTACGGTAGCCAAGAGCAAATCATCTTCAGATTCCTTGTTCTCCTCTATCACAGCAAGTTGGGATGACGACTTGATTGATTTTGTGTTTCCTCTAACATCATGACAAGATTTAGCATCCGATGTTGTTCCCTGCAAATAAAGTAGATTCATAGAAACAGTTTCATAAATGTCCCAGCAAAGTCGACCATCCATCACTTAAGCCAACAAAAGATACTGCACAGGTCTTACCTTCTTATCTTGAGATACTGTGGACAATTGTGGAGCCAAAGTTTGCTTTTTAGGACGTGGTTTGATCTTTGGTTGAAATCTACCCCCAGTTCGGGCTGGGAAAAACCAATATCAATTACTCATTATTAAGAAAATAGAAATGCACAAACTGATGAATGTAAAGCTTACATGTGAAACCAGGATCAGAAAGAATTTCATCAAAAGGGTCCATAAATGAAGCCTCGAGTTTGACTGCACCAACCAGAGACCTTTGGACGTTATGAAACCTTCTGATTCCTTTTTAGTTGGTAAGAAATCGTAAATAAAAGTTCACAGTACATGTCTAAAAGGTAAAAAGTAAAATTGAAGCTGAGGATATGGGTAGTGTTTCTAAGCACAAATGTAACATCCCCAAATTTCACACTAAACTAGGAACCTTACCAAACTTTCATACCTAACTAGCCTGAAGTACAATGTCCAAATATTTGAAACAAACTAACATTCTACTCTTTGCTTAAGGAACCTGAGCAAACTAGAGTTTCAGGATTAAAAACATCAAACTAACCACACTAAAGAACCAAACTCAAATTAAAGAAAACATTCATTTCCATAAGCCACTAAGCCACTAAGTACAACTCAACTTCAGAACAACAATAAAAACTCCAACGCAAAAATTTCAACCCAAACTTAAAGACAAACAATAAAGGGATGAACTAACAGCAATGTCACGACACTAACCCAGCTATAAAAGGTAAATCAACTAGACTAAGCACAACGGAAGCAACTCCTAAAAAGAGTTCAATTAGCTAATGGCTCTTCTTTTCATATCTCCTCTTCAGCGCAGGTTTGTAATACTTATCATCACCTACATAATTTAGTACACAACACGTACTGGTAAGTAGCTCAAACCTGAAGAGCCACAAAACAGTATACAAGGCAAACATCATGCTACTCACATCATGTAATGCATACTCAATCTCTACTCAAGCTCACTCAATGCCCACAATTTAGCTCTCACAAGGCTTTCTGCGACCGACACCTTCAAGGTACGTTAACCCCAACTAATGTTATCCAGGGTCACCGACATTCTTCGTCGTCCCCAATTGATTTTATCCAAGAACCATCAACGCTTTCTATTGACCCCAACTGATTTTAGCCAGGGTCACCATTCATCTTCATCGACCCCAATAGATTTTTATCCAAGGTCATCAACGTTCTCAAGAATCCCCACTACTCGTCTTTCTAGACTCATCGCACCGACCCTAACTATTTTTAAACAAGACCATCGATGTTCATTTAAATCCAACGGCGACACAACCATTTGACCAACGCACTTGATATTCACCCAACATTTCTTTATACGCACAACCCTCAGACCTCTTTCTCACACAATCTCACTAGAATGCATGAGTGCTATAACATGCTTCTAAACTATGCTTTATGTCAAAACCACATAAAACAGCGACATGCACTCAACATAACCCATCCAATAATTCAAACATTCTCAAAAAATATGCTCATAAACAAAATCATACAACACCACCTCAGCATGCTAGTCCGTACAATATCACCACGACATTACAACATACTTAAACATACCGAACGCATACGATTCAAACACATCGACAATTTAAATCATAATTATTACTCAATTAAAACACAAAGCATGTTGGCACACAATAAACAGACCCAACGAGGGGGTGAACGCCGCTGGTTTCTGTCGTCACTGCAGCGAGTTCGTGTAGCGCACCGCCCTAGAGCCTCGCCGGAGAAGAGAAGTTCGCTGGAGGAGAAGAAGAAGAAGATGTCAGAACGCCGTGGAACAGGTCCGCTGGTTTCTATCGTCACTGCAGCGAGTTCGTGTAGCGCACCGCCCTAGAGCCTCGCCGGAGAAGAGAAGTTCGCTGGAGGGAGAAGAAGAAGATGTCGGAACGCCGTGGAACTGGTTGCTGGAGGAAAATACGCCGTTCGTGCGCTGGGCGGCGGTGGTTCACCGGCTGATGTGCGTGTGAAGAAGAGAGGAATTGGGACAACGGTTTTCTAAATTTTCCCTCTTCTTTTTCATTTCTCACTCTCTTTATAAGCAAAAACAAATTACTCGAAAGTAAAAAAAAAAAAAAAAAAAAAATTAAAAAAAAATTGAAATCCAAATTAAAGAATTAAATGTGAGAAAAATCTAATTGAATAAAGTTTATTTCTTTAAAGAAAAATCATAATTTGAAGAAATTTAATTTAAATTTAATTTCTCAAATTAGAATTATAAACCAATAAGTTCTCATTTAGTAGTAATGAGCTAAAATATATTTGAGAGAGTTAATTGAATCCGAACTCGAGGAGAAGCAATGGCGTCGAGAAAAGGAGGTAGCGCCGGCGAAGGGGTGAGATCGTTGGAGTTGGAGAAGATGAGTGTCGAGCAGCTAAAAGCCTTCAAGGAACAGACTGATATGGAAGTCAATCTCCTTCACGATAGCCTCAACAACATTCGCACAGCCACTTCTCGCCTCGACATTGCCACCGCTGTGCTTCACGACCTCTCGCTCCGCCCTCAAGGTTCTTTCCTCTGTTTTTACTGCTAGAAGTTGGTGTAAATAAACTTGTTGGTTCGGATTGTAATCTGCGATTCCTCCTTCGTTTTTATATGGTTTTGTTTCATCGTTGATTATTTGTTGTGATTCTTCGATGAGGCAGGGAAATAGTCTGTTGTGTTTGCTCGATTGTGCTGATTGTTGATTAGTTTTTTTTTTTCTTTTTCTTTTTCTTCTTAATGCTTAGGCAAGAAGATGTTGGTGCCTCTTACTGCTTCGCTTTATGTTCCTGGAACGCTCGATGATGCCGATAAGGTCTCGGTGGATGTAGGCACTGGATACTTCATTGAGGTCGGTTTGGTGGACTTTTGAACCTGATTGTTTGGTTGCCATTGTTCAATTCTTGGTTGATTTTGTTCTTGCATCACTTGTTATTTGTTTTTCACGAAAAAAAAAAAAAAAAAGAAGGTTGAAATTATATTCAGTGTTTATTTGATTTCATTCAGCAACGAGACTGGTGTAGCTGAAAATTTATCTTCGTTTTCCAACACATGGCTGATGTCCTTGTATTACAAAATGTCATGAATTACTTATTATTCACAATGTAGTGTAGTGCCTTCTGTTGAGTGATGCATGCTGGTTTTCTTTCGCTTTCCGTTGCCAAGGCTCCGTCTGGATAACCCTTTGTCCTTTATTTTTCCTTTAAAAAATGAAATTGTATTTGTTTTCTCACCATTTATTTACAATATGGCAGTACTTAAATTCTTAGTATTTTGACATGAATTTTCAGAACATTTTTAGAAAGTAGGTAACAAAATAAAGAACTTCATAGGTGGAAGTAGTGTTTATAAGCTTAATTTTCAAAAACTGATATCGAATGATTATTAAATGGGCCCAAATGACTTATCTGATTTAGTACTTTATCTATATCAATCTTCAAACCTATCTGAATTTGTTCTTGTTTATAAACATAAATTGATGCTGATTGTTATCATCAGTTAGGATCTTATGATTCACTGAGTAAGAATTATGATCCAGCTTTGTCAACAATAATATCAGTTTATTATGTATTGGTGTTGGAAATGTGTTTTCATGACTTGATTGTGTTGATTTGATGATTGAATCAGAAAACAATGGCAGAAGGAAAAGATTACTGTGATCCAAAGATCAAATTGCTGAGGTCGAATTTTGACCAACTAATCGAGGTATTATGACTATTTTGAAGTTGAATTTGGAACAAAAAGTTTTCTAGTGAAAGAAGTGTCAATGTATGAACCATGTATTGTAGTTTCTTAATGTTAATTCTGCATCTTTTCTTGTGAATAAAGTACAGCACAAAAAAGTTCGTAGAATTTAACAAGTTTTAAAAACTAAAAAAGAAAGTTTTTTTTTTTTTTTTTAAATGTTTTAAAACCGTGAATTTTATTATTTTTTTAAAAAATAATTGAACAGGTTTAATATTTTTGAAAACAGGAAGGTAAAGAGGAAATTGTTGTGTGAAAACAGGACGTTTAATATTTTCCCAGCAGCCCATGATATATCCTTAAAGACTCTTGAAAACATCCTCTCATTAGTCATTTCTTTAGTTCTCATGATATAGTTATCCACAATGCTATAACTTCTATAAGATATTTGAATTTGTTTATTGTGCACCTTGAGCAAAAAACCCATGCTTGAGTCTTGAACAGCAGTTGTTCATTAGTATTCCTCATACTTCACTGTGACCTCTCCTATAAAATACCCAATAATGGAGAGATCTTTTTTATTTAGTTTACTCGGGAGTCTTTGTTATAGAGGAAAATGAGGAACTAATATACTGTGTACTGTGTGAACAAAGGCCTCCTACTTCCCCTCTACTGTGAACAAAGGTTTCCTGCTTCCCGTGTATTGTGTGAACAGAGGCCTACTAGACATTGAGGCAGGGTACTCATAAATTGTAAAGTAGGAGCTATTGTTAGTGGTCACTACCCGTAAGTCGAGGCTGTACTTCTAGGCCCATTTGATATGTACCACCTTTACTTCATAAAATATTTAGCACAAGTTTGATCAACTCATCAAGATGAGTAGTTAATCTAAGTGAGTCCAACATCTCCAGCTGAGTGACGAATAGAGACCAAGGCCCAAGCTTTGATTGATTTTGTCATGGAGATATCCAAAACATAGCTGAAATTGCTCAAACCAAGTTAGCTAAATAGTGGCCACTGGCCCCCTCCTGCAACAACAAATCTTGTGGAGTTGGACTAATGCTCAAGACCCTTGGTGACTCGGTCCTTGAGCAGTCTATATAGCTCGAATTTTGATGCTTCGATAATGGGATGGAATATGGAACTCATGCCCTCATCATAACATATAATCTTGCTTAGGAACTAAAAGAGAAATGATCCTAAACTAAACCCTGTCCTTGTCCCTCGGAAGAGCTGACCTTAGGCCTAAAGTTTTTTTTGTGGACTAGAGGGGTTGGCTACCTTTGGGTTCGAACCAAGCAGGGTCTAGCCTCGGTTTCAGGGAAAAACAGAGTAAATATACATTTAATTTAATATTTATTTCCGTGGCAAAAGTTTATTTTGATTATTTTACCATTTCAACATGGGATTGCTACTAAAAAGAAAAAAGTAGCAGATGAAGCTGGGGTGATCTTACAAGCAAAGCTGAAGCAGATGGCTGCTACAACATAGGAGAATGTATGACCATATAATATGTAAGGTATTGATTGTTTAAACGTGCCAAAATTTTTATAGGGTAGAGAGATGCGGATGAAATTTGGGAGGTCAGGTTTGAGTCATATTTGAGGTGCCAATAAAATCTCTAAACTACAATAGATATCTGTAGAAGAAGGATTTAACAACTCTTTTCAATTCATGATATAAATGTTGTGATATTATATGATAATTTGAAAGGCTTAATTTTCATTTGTTCGTCCTAGGTCGTGAAAATTTAAGAACTAAAATTAGATAGTTTGAAAGTTTTAACATATTTCAACATATAATATAACAATTACATAAATCCATGTTCTAGGATGGTAGTTGATCATCATATAAAGCTATCCTCACTTTCATCATCTTCCTCATATACCTCTGAAATGAAGGATGGATTATTGCCTCTATATGGCATCCTCTTCTCAAGTCTCTCAAAGTACGATATCTTCAATCCATGTCTTCGAGCAATTCGCGACCGAACCCAATATGGTTGATTCCCTCTTTGTCCTGTAACAATGACATTAGTAGCATCTATTGCAAACTTAGTCAAGGGAACTAGCACCTCAGGCTCGATAGCTGCCGATGCATCCAACAGGAAAATATGGCTAAAATGTCCAGCAGCCAAGCCTTTAGGATGTAGTCGAAAGCTGCTCATGAACGTTGAGAATATTATCTTGTATTTGTGGAGCTTGTCAAGTGAAGGACAAGTGAAACACTCCTGATCCCTGTTGTAGTCACACAGTGGTAAGATGTCATCTGGGACCTCATCTCGTTCTCGAAAAGCCGCGATAGCACGGAACATGTTCGACTCAGGAATCACCTTCTTCAAAGATATCATCAACTCATCACATGTTGTATTCCTGGGAGCACATATCAGAATTTTACAATTAGGAGAGGTTGAGTAAATCTGAAACACTGCTCCTACAACAACTTCTCCTGTTTTCGTGATTTTCCTAGTTTGATTCTCTGCCCAGTCATAAGAGCTAACACAGGGTGAACCTCTGATTAGGTAAGGTGGTGAACCTTGTAAGAGTAAAATCTGACGAATTGCATTCTTTTGAGCAGGGTCAAGTAATTGCTGGCCTGAACGTGTAACTTTGATGTAGGGGTCGACTTTTCTGGACGTGGATTTAGGAAAGAGGAAACTCTGGAGCAAAGAATCAGACGCTTCTTCTATAGCTTGGTGAGCTCTCTTTAAACAAACTCTGTTGAAGGTAAAACTAATGTCGTATTTGTCGGTTTTGCGATGCCGAAAATGGAAGTCTTCCCCAAAATTGACCAACAGAATGTTTTTCATGCTTAATTGATAATTACTCGTGGAAATTCTGTAGACAAGGCCCTGTGCAACATGAAAATTGCAAGCATTAGTTACGAGTTCGACGTATAAGAGGTTAGTTTAGACAATGCATGCATCTATAGCTACTCTTTTTAAGTATTTTTTTCAAATGAAATGTGAGCAAATTTTGTTCTTGCAACCTGAGTTTACTGATGATGGGCAAGTTTTTCCCATTGATTAGACAAGTTAAGTTGAGCCAACCAAAAACCTAGTTCGTTTTTTTTTTTTCCTAGTCCTAGAATTTTTTATGGGTATTCTACAAAGATTGAAATACATCTCAAGTAAGCAAGTAATACCTGAAATGGCTCAAGTTTCCTCTCACAAAGCCTTGCATGAACCAAATCCCTTGACAAGAGAAATGGCCGCCTCTCAGGGACAGAGTCGATCTCAAATGCCACAAAGGTTTTAATGACCTTCTCATGGCCATTGAACTTTGTTTTCTTGTTCGGTCCTTTATGGATTGTTATTTGTTGTAGCTCCAAACTGACATTTCTCAATTTGTAATCACTCCATTTCTGGACAAGGACAAACAAAATATTGCATATCAATCCACACCGACACGAAAACTACTATCATAGAGAAGAGCACGCGCAATGCAAGCTGACCTTATAATAGTAGTCCTCAGCATAGAGCAGGGCAGCAAAGTAAGACTTGTATGTTGAAGGCGACAGAGGTTTTCTCAGGACATGAGGTTCAATGTCATTTTTTATCAGATTTTCAACATCCTTAGGAGCTAAGTACAAAGTCAAAGTTGGATGTAGAGTCTGCTCTCGAGGAGGTTCGGGGAAAGATGTAGTAGATGGGGAGGGAAGAGAATAAGAGGGCTTTGGAGTTGGTGTTGGCAGTTTAGATGAAGAAACAAGTTGGTTAACTGAAGATCGGGGTAAGTCAGAGGAAACTGGAGAAGGTGATCGTAGATATGATGTCTCTTGAGGTCTAAGAAGTGACGATGAAAGCGAATGGGCTCTGAAGGAAGACGAAGACGAAGAAGGACTAATAGAGCCTGATGGAGTTGGATGTGAAGACTGAGGTTTACTAGAATGCTGCAATAGACTTGAAGTCTTGGCATTATAAGATGCTGTACTACTCTTCTCCAATGTCGACGATGAAAGCGAATGAGCTCCGAAGGAAGATGAACTGGATTTCCCACAGTTGGGAGCAGCAGCATGTGAAGATGGTTTTGAGAATACAGGTGAAGACTGAGGTTTACTAGAATGCTGGTATAGATTTGAAGTCTTGGCATTATAAGATGCTGTACTACTCTTCTCCAATGTCGACTCTTTTGCCTTGGAATAATTTGGATAATGATCATAATAAAGAAGAGGAGTTACAGCAGAAGTATCTGGTTGGATTTTTTGATAACTACTTGAATCACTAACGTTGGAAACTCTGAATCTTTCAGAACTATTAGCTGTATAAATTTCACGGTAATTGTTGTCATGATCAGGATCATCACAACAACAGCAAAAGCAACGCAAGATGTCAAGAAACACTGACATATCGACCTTCTGCATGAATTTGAAGAAGGAAAAAAACAACAAAAAAATCAGTTGAACCCTCAGTTTTACTGTGATCACTGTCTTGTTTTAGAATTCAATCGGAGAATCTTAAAAGCTGTTCGTGCAAAAGGAAAAGTGTTCACTATCAAGAACAAGCCAAACAAGATTTAGATCCTCAACCTGGAGATTAAAAAGCTTATTGGAACTTGAAATTACAGTACGACTGGCATTCAGAAAAGGATAGGGCTCCGATCGACTCACCGGTTAGTTCTTCCTACTGAACAGACAAAAGCGATGAGAAACTAGAATCAAAATGGAGTCACGAAGTCTACAAAATTGCAGTAGAAAAAAAAAATGGAGTCACCTGGAGATCTCGAGCTACAATCCGATCATCAACAACTCTTCATCTGACCGAAAAGAAGTAAAAAAAAAAAAAGCATCAAACACTGACCTCGCACCTTTCTTTGTCATTAAGGCAATGAAGTCCAAAAGTAGAAAAAGAATACCGACGCCGTTCGGTAATATGATTGAGGAATAGCGCTGTGGAGCCCAATCAGAGATTGCCGCATCCATCCATCCATCCATCCATCCATCAGGAAGCAGTTGTCATCGCATGGTTTGGTTGTTTATTTGCTTGATTCCGAGAAACATTTTGGAATCTGGAAGCAGAAATGAAGGCGAAAATAAACTGTTCGGAGAAGGAGAGTTGAAAGAACAAGGACGACAGCGGAAGAAGGGAAGCTGTTGGAGTGGCATGGCGGCAACGAGGAAGAAATCTCATGGTTGTGTAGAGGAAGCCATAGCCATGGAAAAGGTCGTGCGAGTCAACTTTTTTAAAGCTAGACGAAGATACAGAGGTTTCATGGAATTATTTGGCTACCCATTATAATTACCTAAATATATATTATATTATATTATATTATATTATATTATATATATAATGCATTTTATTTTGAATTGTTTTTAGTTAATTGGGATTATTAACTGCTATTATATATATAATTCTATTTTAGTTGAAAAAATTTCATGTTCATTCCCACTAAGTTTTGAAATGGAATTGGCATTTGGAGGATTCCCATTCGAGGATTGGTCCCCACGAGAAAAAAGTTCCATTTTTATTTTTAATTAAAAAAAAAAGATAAATATGTTAAATTATGTATACTTTTGTACGCTCGTTGTTTATTTATATATATTAAAGAAAGTAAATAATATTTCTAGAAATATATATCATTATTTAACTATTTTTTAAAAATATTTAACCCTTTAATACAAAAGGTTATTATTATTATAAATTAAATATAACAGAAAGTTTTAAAGAAAATTTTGAGAGAAAATAGAGTTTTAAAGAAATTTTTAGGTATTTTATTAATTTAGGAATAATATTTGGTTATGAAATATTTTGATTTATTATGATTTTTAATATGTTAATTAGTGTAAGATCGAGAACTTTAAAATAACAATTTTTTAAGAATATTAAACAAAAAAAAAAAACTTACCAGAAATCTTCGTCAAGATTGAGACGAAGAAAGATGAAAAATGAAATAGGCAGGATAGAGACGAGAAAGGTTTCTACCGCCCATTCAGTGGACATCTTTAAAAGCAATGTATTTCATTAAAAAATATTATTATTATTGGACCGCTTCGATTAGTTTCAAATTTGTCTTTTTAACTTTTAAAATTACAAATTTAAGTAGTAATTTTTTTAAATTTTTATTATAATTTTCTAGTCAATTAAACATATATTTTAAATTTAAATTTAACGAATGAATTAATTTTTCAAAATTTTAAATTTGGTGGACTTATTTATTACAAAATAAAAAAAAAATAGTATTCTTAGATTTAGAGTTTAAAAGTTGAGGAGACATAAAAGTTAATTAAAATTCAATAGACTATGACTGTACTACATATTACTACGTACGAGGTGATTTTCAGTGACTTGTCTTTTCTTTCAGTTCACATCTAGCTTAACACAGAAGCAAAGATTCCTCGCATCTTCTTCTTCTTCTTTTTCTTCTCTTGCATTCTTCGATTGCTCGATCGTCACTATAATCAGAGGCTGAAATCAACAGATTCTTGTACGGATTCTTTTGCGCTCTTCTGAGTCTTTTTCTTCTTTCGGATCGATTCAGGAGGACGATGTGGATGATTATAAATTTTCTGCGTCGCATTTTTGGGATCGATCGTCCCGAGAATGACAATCGTGGAAAAGCTCGGCAGATTCGCGTTTTTGCAAGCTCTTACACGGGATCGAAATCGGAGTTCGACAAAGGCGGCTATTCGAGAAGGTTTCATCCGAGTAGGTATCAGTTAAGCCAATCAGTTATATCAATCAAAATTCGTCCGAATTACGGTAGGCCTATGAGAGATTTAATTAAGGAACCTAAATCTCTGTTTGAGTCGCTTGTGAAGACACATACAGTCAGACCATCGGCTTCAATTAAGAACTCGGAATCTTCGTCCAAGTCCGCAGTGAAGACATATGCTACCGGACAGTCGACTTCAATCGAGAAACTGAAATCGACGTCTACGGTCGTCGGACAATTTGATTCAGTTAAGGCATCGGAATCCGTTAGCGTTTCGATAGCTTCAGAGCCTTCTTCTGAGTTCATTGCGAAGACATACGCCACCGCACAGTCGACTTCAGTTAACAAATCGGAATCCGTCAGGGTTTCGAGAGCTTCAGAGCCTTCTTCTGAGTTCATCTCGAATATCTACGCCACCGCACAGTCGACATCAAATAAGAAATCGGTATCAGATAGTCCTTCGAGAGCTTCAATTTCTTCATCGAATTTCTTCGTGACAACACATATTACCGGTAAATCGGCTTCTCCTAAACCGGCGGTGCATCTGCCTGAAGTTACCGCCGAGCCACCGTCGACCTCGAACCCGACTCTGCGTCCAGTTTCTGGCCATGGAAGAAATCAGTCGGCGTACATTCTGGAGGCGAACAGTTCCTTGGCCTTGTACTTAATTCCTAAAGACGTTGAAGAGTTGATAAAAAACGACGTCGTTCCTCCAGTTCTGAGATATCCCGTTTGTCCTGTGACTTACAAGTCTTATTTTGCTGCTCTTCTCTACGCCGAGGACTCTTATTGTAAGGTAAACTTACAAATTTATAACAGTTTAGGGTTCTTAGGGTTTAGAGACCAAAGAAAGAACGAGTTCGATCCCAGAGTTAGTATATTCATAGAAGAATTGAGCTAGGTTTTTCATCTCGTAATTTTGAACTCGAGCTCCCGAACAAAAAATTATATGAACTCAATTAAAATGGTCGGTCATCCTAAAATTAGGATTTAGAGGGACTAATTCCTATGGAGATTTCTCCGGCTTTTGTGTACCCGTACCTTGCAATGGTAACATTGTAAGACCTTCCTTATATTACTTTCCTTTGTCCATCATTTCTCCATTTATCCATGTTATCACGACCACCATGGAAGCTACAAAATTCACCTTTTCCATGACTTCTACCTGCTATATGAATATTTTCTCTTTTGTTGCATGCATTCGTTATTGGCTGTCTCCTTTACTTGTAGTGCCTTTTCTTCATTCATATTTGATGATCTATTGATTCTTGACTCATGAGCTTGAAGCGAGCCCATCAGTGTGTCTAACTTAGACAATGAAAGGGGGTTCAATACTAAAACTAGAGGAGCGATCGGTTGGATCACTGAATCCCGACCCAGCATCATCCCACCTTCTCCAAGCCCGAAAAGTTATACTGAGCATAGGACTTTTTTCTGTTCTTTTTTTTTACCCATTTAATAAAGATTTTGTTTCCAAAATTTATTTTAAAGAAAATTAACGTTTTTGTTTGTCTTTATCCAGAAATGGAGCGACTACAAATTGGAAAGCGTGAATTTAGAGCTCCAAGCAATTGCGATTCGTAAACAAGCAAATAGGCAAGGGAGAATCAACGGCGATGAAAATTTCTATAAAACCTTTGCGGCATTTGAGTTTGATTCAGTTCCTGAGAGGCGGCCGTTTCTACTGTCGAGGGATTTGGTCTACGCACGACTCTCCGGTACCGATGACGAGCCATTTCAGGTAATATGAGTTGAGATTTAACAAGTTACGAAGTTCTTAATTATTTTATTTGCTCTGTTTTTCTATAACTCTACTACTTGAATCTCTGCAAGTTCTCGAAATCCAGACGGACTATTAATGAAGAATGTTAATCTGATCGTTCAAACCATAATTCATAGTTCTTGAACTTTCATGCTTAGATTTAACAAATTGAGAGTAAAACTTCCAAATTTTGTTCTAATAGTTGTCTGAATTTATCTTCCGATCTTTTAATTTTGTGTCTAGGTCTATGGTATGTTGAACAGGCTCACAAATTATAAAAATTTGACCTATTCAATCAAAAGTTAAAAGTTTGGAAACTTGTTAGACACAAAATTTAAAAATTTAGGGATCTATACCATACAAATTTGATAGTTTACTAATTTATTGATACTTTTCATAGCTGAGAAACTATTTGATACGTAAAAACCTCGGAACTTAGTAGTTTAACCTAATGGATTCTATCTGTGCGTAGGCAAATCTGAAAGAATAACGAACACGTAGCATATCTTTGTTTCAGTTTGGACCTTGGAATTGACGATATTATGTAATGAAAGTTTGCATTTAGGCTCTTCTCCTATAGACAGCACAGTAAACTTGATACTCATCCAAGCTATATTATGCTTACTGCTCAATTTAGCAAAGCAATTGTGACCATTTCTTTCCTAGAGATCCTATATTGATTAGAGAGAGTAACGAAACATTCTTTCCATTTTAAAATCGTGAGGCTGACGGTGATATATAACGAGCCAAATCGTACTATATCTACTCGCAATTGGCTTGGGTGGTTACAAATGGTATTAGAGCCAGATACTGGGTGGTGTGCCAGCGAGGACGTTGGGCCCCTAGGGTGTGGATTGTGAGATTCTACATCGGTTGGAGAGGAGAGCGAAACATTCCTTATAAGGGTGTGAAAACCTCCTCCAAATAGACTCGTTTTAAAACCGTAAGGCTGATGGCGATACGTAACTTGTCAAAATGGACAATATATATTAGCGGTGGACTTGGGCTGTTATACATTTACATTGTTATTTAATACTTGAAATCTTGTATTTAACAGGGTTTCGTCTATCGAGTTTCTTCGAGTCATAGGTCGAGGAAGGGAAGGGTTCTTTTGGTTGATTTTGGAGAAGATTTTTATGAATGGCATCATGAAACCAACAAATATGATATCAGTTTCACTTTCAACAGAGTTTGTTTAAAAAGAGCTCACCAAGCCATAGAAGAAGCATCTGATTCATTGTTCCAGAATATCCTTTTTCCTGAATCCATGTCAAGAACAAGACATCCCACCATTCAAGTTACACATTCTACCCATCAACGTCTTGATCCTGCTCAAAACAATGCAGTCCATCACATTTTGAACCTTCATAGCTCACCACCTTATCTGATCAACGGTCCACTGTGCATACACGTCAACGATTGGGCCCGGAATCGAACGTTCGAGCTTTCGAGAACGGGCACAATCATTAAAGAAGCAGTGATTCAGATTTACTCAACCTCTCCCAATTGCAGAATCCTAATCTGTGCTCCTAAAAACTCAACATGTGATGAGCTGATGATATCTTTGAAGAAGGTGATTCCCGAGTCCAACATGTTTCGTGCTATCGCCGCTTTTCGAGAGCGAGACGAGGTACCATATGACATATTGTCTTCGTGTTATTACAACGAGGACGAGGAGTGTTTCAGTTCTCCAATACTCGACAAGCTCCGCGAATACAAGATTATATTCTCGACGTATATGAGTAGCTTCCGCCTACATGCTAAAGGCTTGGCTGCTGGACATTTCAACCATATTTTCTTGGTCGATGCATCGGCAGCTATCGAGCCCGAGACGTTGGTGCCTTTGACTAAGTTCGCTACAAATGCAACCAGTGTTATAGTTACTGGACAGACAGGGAACCAACCTAATTATGTTCGGTCAACAATCGGTCGAAGAAATGGATTGAAGACATCCTATTTTGAAAGACTTGAGGTAAGCTTGCCATATATAGACCTTAATCCTCAGTTCATTTCAGGCTTAGAGGAACAGCCAGGAAGTAATGGCGAAGTTGTTGGGTTCATTGGTACATATATGTATTAACATACCATTTTATATATATATATATATATATATATATATATATATATATATATATATATATATATATATATATATATATATGTATATGTATTACATAGAGTTGGGATTAATTTTCAAAAATATTTTTTTAGTTTTAAAAAGTTTATTAATACCCTTTTTGTAATAAATTAAAAAAGATGTGTTAATACTATATTTAAAAAATATTCATAAAATTTAAAAGTAATATTAATCTCCTTTAACTTTTGTAAAAAAATCTAAAAAGTTCTTACATTCCATCAGTCAATTATGGATAGAAACATCTATCTATCGGTACCTCATAAATTATTTCTAAATATATTTTTTTTTATAGTAGTAAGAGTATTTTTTAAACTTTTTAAAAAAAGTTTATATGTATTTTTAGGAAAAACAAAAATCTAATTTAAAGTATTTATTTAATAGATTTTAAACTAGCATGATTCTTTTTATGGAGAATTTTGAATACCTAACATTTTTAATTAATATTTTTAATTTAAAATAATAATAAAAGGAATTTTTAAACTTATTTTTAAGAGATTTCAAAAAAAAAAAAAAAAATTAAAGGATTAAAAATGTAATTATTCCTAAATTCTTTAATTTGTTCCAAGTGTTTCATTTTATGTGGTTTTAAGCCATCTTTGATAAAATTCCATGACTCAAAAAAGAAAAAGAAAAAAAAAAAGTAGTATTCGTTGTTATCCTTTTAACAAATGCAGTTTTCTTTTTAATTTAAAAAAAAAAAAAAAAAAAAAAACTTTTTTCTTTAAAATATTCAACTCTAAATTGTCTGTGATTGTCAGAATCTTGACCGTCTATTTAGTAGAACTATTTTTTTTTTATTGATCAAAATCAAGTAGACGATAATATTCAAGATAAACTTTTCTAAAAATTTGTCATATTTTCAATAAAATTTTAAAAAATCTAATATTATTTTGTTTCCGTCTAGAATATTTTCTCCCTAAGCTCTATCAAATAATTTAAATTAAATAAATTAATTTTCATTTAATTTTACTTGTTAACACATTTGAATGTTCTAAAATCATTGATTTTTTATTTTACAGATAATACATTATGCCTAAGCTTAAGAATAAAATTTATAAATAATTATTTTTTTAGACCAAATGTTTTAGGGCTAGAAAACAATAGTAAAAATTCGAAGATGACTGTATTTCATAATTTTAAAAAAATATATATTCATAATACAAACTCGAATAAATTATTTATTTTCTTTTTTTAAATTCAATCATAAGATATATGTTATGCATACATATAAAGCCAAAATGATATGAACCAAAATACATCAATCATACAATATGCTTCAATGAAGATGTGAAGAAAATATTGTTGAAATTATCCAAAGATATTTCAATTCATGCCACATTGAAGAACAATTAAGTTTCATGTTTTGAATTTTGGGTGGACTACAATTTAGAGTAATTCATAGCTATTGTATTTCATTAATGTATTTTAAGACTTTTAATTTACTTTAGGTTACAATTACACAATGGTTAATTAAGTATGAATGTTACAACTTTTGGAATGTATTTAGTAGCTTCATTTTGAGGCTATATAAAGCCATGTATGTTGTATTTGTAAGTAGACTTGGAAAATATAGTATTTGTGCTCGTCTTTAGCCAATGACTAAGTTTCTTTATAATTCTATGTAGTTTAGATTGCATATAGAATCATTCAAGCTCGACATGATCAATTTTGTTTGTAGAGTGATTCGAATCTCAAGCAAGTGTTCTTGCCTTGAGATATTTGATTAACAAGAATCATTCAAGCTAGACATGATCAATCTTGCTTGTAGAGTGATTCGAATTTCAAACAATATTCTTGCCTTGAGATATTCGATCAATATGATAATCTAAATCTTACACCTCTTGTAGTGGTTCCTTTATCTTATCAGAAAAGATTGAAATTTCTATTTGATTGTATGTGAGCCAAAAAAAAAAAAAAAAAAAGCTTTGATGCTTATGGGCATGCCCTTCACCCATTCCACGAATATTCTTTTAGGATATCTTCTCACATATTCCAACACATTAATTATTTTTTTTTTTCATAAAGAATTAAAGAATAAAAACATCAAAAAAAATAATTAAAAAAAATCTCAATTAGTATTTTTTATAATTTGTGTGATTCGACTTGATTTTTATATTTTTCGTGGTGTCTATTGACTTGAACACTATCCCCGTCAATCAATACGAGCTATGTTAGCATGTTTTGTTTTCACTCACATGCATCCTAAGAAAATTTCTAGACGGTCGATTAGTAAATTGAACCAAATTATTAGTTTTCAAAAAATTAAACTCAATGACTTCTGTCTGAACCTTGATTATTGAACTAATTAATGTTATTAATATATTAATAATTAAATTATAAATCCAATCAATGAATTTAGATGTAATTTCTTCATTTATTTAGAAAATAAGTACAATTTTAAAATAATTTTTATATTTCATAAAAAAAATTTAATTTTTAACGTTATAAAAAAATAAAATAAATATTTTAAAAAATTATACTATTTTCAATAAATTTTAAAATCAATTTATTTATTTTTTAAAATATTATTTTCTTTAAAAAAAAATCATCTAATAATCTTGGAATGGGAATGGGGTTGGGATTTGGGACCCACTATATATTTTTAGAGGATAAATATAAAGATTGAAAAGAATATAAATATAATATTATAAATATTAATCGTAACGCTAACTAACGGTTAGTATAAATATTACGGAATTTTCGTTCTTCCGCGTGTTCGCTCTTTCTTCTCCGCCATTCATTGCTTCATTCCTTCGTCTTCTTAAAGTATAGAAGTTGCAGAAAAACAAGGAACCGACATAGGATTTTGCTTTCTTTCCTTCTCTCCCACTCCCCTTCGACGGTATGTTTCTCTTTCGATCTCTTCATGAACCTGCATTTTCCATTCTTTGATTCGATTTCGTGTTTGGTGATTGCTGTTTTTGTGTTCCGGAACCTGCTTGTCTTCTCATGTTTATTTGCGTTTGATTTTCTGGATTTTGTCCTGATTTCGAACTAGCCTGCCGACGAGCTATTTGCTAGTTTTCACCCTCATTTTGATTGTTGTTCTGGTATATCCTTTCGGCCGAGTTGAAGTCCGATGATCGGATTTCCTCATTGTCGATTTTTTCAAATTTTTGAAGATTCTATAGCAATGCAATGAAATGAAATATTGTCTGAGGTTGAATATAGGGTAGTTTGGAGGAACGCCGATTTTAGGACGCGGTATGCGTTTTTAGAGAGGAACGATTCATTTTTCTTTTAAGTTTTCTCTTTGTTAATAGTTAGTATACCAGAACCAGCGCCGCGTTGTGGAAAATTCAATGTTCTTTCTCCGATTTGATTGTCTGTGTATGTACTGTAGAAAGAGAGTCACCGAGTGTTTTTCTACTGAGAATTATTGAACGAAATAGTATCCAAATTTCGGATGTGAAAAGATTAAATTGACTTGTTTAGAGTGTGAGGACTGGATTTCTTCTGAATTACTTCGAATTACTTCGAATATTGAGACCTGTTTCACATTTTTTTACCAAGTTTGAAAGTTCAACGGGAATGTTTTGTTCACTACCAAGTCAGCCTGGGATTATGACTCGTGATGTGAAACGTACGTCTTTTACCTGCTGTTATTCCAGACCTCGAGTAGATCTATCTTTTGAGTTTGAGGTTGGCGTAGTTGATCCGGGCGGCTCATGCTCTGTTTAGCAAATCAATCCGTTTACTTGGATTGGATATTATTGGGTGTGTTTGTTTTCTGGTTCACTTTCTTTTATCCTGAGCATATTATTATATGGACGGCAACGCATAAAATGACAAATCCTTATCAATGGTCTCATCTTCCTTCTGAAGATGGGGGGCCTGTTTTTTCTGGAGTTGTGTCGCTATCCTCACCGAGTTCTTTGGCTGGAGCTCACAACACGTGGCGTCAACTAATTCTTTTTCCCTCCTTTTTGGGGTTTCCCAGTTCCTAGTTTAAAAGTATAATGGTATTTAATCGTGTTACTTAGCCATGTGAGGTTAATGTTCTAATTTGCTGGAGACGTGTTTTTCTCTTGTTTCAGCAACGTGCGTGGGTGGGAACGGAAAGAGGGCTTGACGAAAACCCACATTTTCTAGGAAACTTCTTGGATGGGTTGGTTCGAGGATAAATGACATCGGCTGTCAAAGTAGGTGACAGCCCGATTTTATTGAATTGAACAGTTTCAAAGATCCATCCGAAGATCATCTTTCTCGTGCCCATTAACTTTCAGTAATCTCCTAGAAAGGGGGCGTGTTCATCTTAGATTGCTCGATTCTTGATTTTTGCCTCATGTTCTTTCGGAGTAATCTGCTATTGGCATGAGACATTTTGATCTGTGTCTTAGATATGGGTTCCTTGTCCGGAATCCTTCAACGACCATTCGTCGCTGTAACTGCTGTGGCTGTGGCATCTTTTTCCTCTGACTTTTCAGACAAGTTACCGTCTCAGAGACCCCCAGAGACTTCTTTTTCTTCTCCTTCTTCTTCCTCAGAATCAGCTTTAGATTTCTTGAAGGAATCAAATACGTCATTTGTTTCCCATACTTCTGTTTCAAAACTTGCAAACTTATCATTTCTTACTAAAATTCATGCACCTATCCCTAAATGGAGCTTTCCGATTCCAAATTCCAGTTGCAACTATGTTGGAAACTTCCGCACGTCTTTGGTTTCCTCCGTTCTCTCTAATTTATATCAGTCAGCTGCATTGACCAAGACATCAAAGCAGGCTGCACCTTCACGTAATCTTTCTTTCCCACCTTCTGAGGTTATGTACAGATGGCATTTACCGGAGCCAACGTCGGTAGATATTACGGGTAGTTCTGCTTGTTCAGTGGCAAAATCTAGGACGGTGGTGGTTTTATTAGGATGGTTGGGAGCAAAGCAGAAACATTTAAATAGATACGCCGAATGGTATACTTCCAGGGGTTTTCATGCCATTACCTTTACTTTTCCAATGGCTGAGATACTTGCGTCTCAGC